CGGGCCATCTCCGCACAGCCAGCCCCAGTGCTTTCTCCAGGTCTTTCTACTGAAGCCCAGGTTTCAACACCCAGCTCACACACGCCCCAGCAGACGTGCATCTTGTGCTAGAGACTGCAGCAAGGAGGCCAGGACTCTCCGTGCTGGTCTTTCTTTGTTCTGCCTGCCATGAGCAGGCTGCTGCACTCTCCTCTAAGCCTCTGAAGCTCCCTGTCTGTCCCAGCTGAACTCCCGGCCAATGAAGGGAGTTTACAGGGTGAGGGAACCTTTCCTCTTTCACAGGTCTCTCCCAGGGGTGCAGGTTCCATCCAGATTCCTTTTTTTTTTTTCCCATCCTACCCAGTTCCATGGTGCTCTTTCTTGGAGTTTTGGTCGTATGAGGTCTTCTGCCTGCATTCAGTAGGTATTCTGTGAGAACTGTTCCACATATAGATGTATTTTTGATGTATTTGTGGGAGGAGATGAGCTTCGTGTCCTACTCCGCCATCTTGATGTCTCCCCCTTGTATGGCATTTTAGATTTTGTTTTATTGCCACCAAGTAGTCTTCACTATTTTGTTTTTGTCAATGCTATGTAGATTTATTCACACTGTTTTTTTTTGTTTTGTTTTGTTTTGTTTACAATTGCTTTTAGGACCTTTTCCTCCCTCTGGGTTTGATTTCTGAAGAGTGTGCCTTTTAGTAGGTTTTTCATCAGGATTTATTGGTGGTAAAAATTTCTAAGATTTTGTTTGTCTGAAAATGTCTGTTTTATTCTCTCAATAATCATTTAGATGAATATAGAATTCTAGGTGGACAATTTTCTCTCAGCACTTTGCAGATTTTATTCTTTTGTTTCTAGTTTTTGTTGCTATTATTGAAGAGTCTGCTGTTGCTCTTTTAAAGGAGGATGTTTTTTCTCATTGTTTACTTTTATGATGTTCCCTTTGACTTTAGGATTCTGTATGTCACCTACATGTGTTTACTACCATTATCTTTCTTGGGTCTAAGTTGCTTCTAGAATCTGAGGAATCATGTCTTTCATCAGTTCTGGAAAATCCTCAGCCATTATTTCTTTCAGTCTTTCTATTCTTCCTGTCTGTATTCTGTCATTCTCAATTCTCTGGTCAATGTGGGTGCTTTTCAGTCTATCATATCTCTCTCTTAATC